TTGTATAGATTGAATGTAAGTAGGAAGCTGATTCCATAGTATAATTGCACGAACAAAAAAGGTACTGCCGTAATGAGAGGAGTTATGCTGCGGTACTACGAAGTGTCTTACTCGAGCGCTTCTGAATGGTTGTAATTTTTCATGAAGATAGTTTGGGCCATGATGTATAATTTTGAATAAGGTAGCACAGCTTCTCAGTTTAAAGAATTCATAAAATGGGCAGCCCAAAAGCTGCCGTTGTAAGTGTGTTACTCTAGCGTATCTTGACAAATTGAAAACCCAACGTACGCAGTGATTTAAGGCAACTCTTAAACGATCCAAAGCATTAGCAGAAGCATTTAAAATCAGTTCAAGTCCATACGAAAAATGTGGTTTCAAAAGAGAGCTGAAAAGCTTGATTTTGGTTGATACCGATAACATAGCAGCCGTTAGCCTTAAATGTCGTAATCCAGCATAAATCTTTCCACATTGGGAATTTACTTGAGAATCCCATTCTAAATCATTTTGTAATATTATACCGAGATTAGAAGCCTTGTTAACAAAGTCAATAATATCATTATTTATAAAAAGATTTGGTAACTCAATGCGTGTCTGCCGTCTGGAAATAAACATCGCTTTTGTTTTAGATGAATTTATCGGAAGCAGATTTCTTGAAGACCATAGCGATACACACTTCAAATCATTATTGATTAGACGAGCCATTTCTTCTACAGATGCATCAATTGAACAGAGGTATAATTGAACATCATCCGCAAACATGTGGATCAAACAGACTTGCAATACTGACGGAAGGTCATTGATGAATAATGAAAATAAAAGAGGACCCAATACTGACCCTTGGGGTACACCTGATAATATATTAATGGGAGCCGAAAGATTACCTTCAATATCCACCACTTGAGTGCGAGCACTTAAATACGAATTGATCAAAGAAACAGCTTCACGACAGAATCCGAACTGGTGTGATAATTTCTTCAGTAGTTTTACGTGTGAGACCCTGTCAAAAGCTTTAGAGAAATCAATCAAAAGTAAAAAAGCAACTCATTTTTTATCAATTAATTTATGGATATCATCATGCACCTTAAGAAGTGATGAAGTTGTACTGTGCCCTGACCTAAAACCTGATTGGTAAGGGCTGAGTAAGTTAAATCGGTTAATATACTCTTGAATCTGAGATTTAAAAATCTTTTCAAAGGCTTTAGATAATGAACATAGGATACTGATTGGGCGAAGGTTATTCAAGCTAGTGCCTGCAGGCTTTTTCCGAATTGGAATAACTTTTGCGGTTTTCCATGCACGAGGAAATCTAGCGTCGAAATGAACAAGTTGAACAGGTAGGAAATCGGAGTTATTACGAAGGGTAAAATCAATTTGATGAACTTTAAAGGAACACCATCCATACCAATCGCGTTGGATGAAATTGATAAAATTGCAGACAAAATTTCCAAATCAGTGCAAGGAGAAAAACGGAAACCTTCAGCATTCAGTGGTGGTATCGTCGGTAATTCAGGATCTATCGTAAAATTTTCACCAAAAAAGGCATTAACTTCATCACTAGTATTATGAATCTTCACACTGCTATTAGAGTTTCTGGCAACATTCAAATGTTTAAGTTTTTTCCACAGCTCTTTACTAGAGTTAGCAGCTTCCAAGCCACTGCTCAAAAAATTTGATTTAGCCTTATTTATCAGACTGGCTACCCGATTACGAAGTCTTCTAAACTGAATATGATACGATTCAATTCTACTTGATATCCAAAGTCGATATGCAATATCTCATTGCATTCATTGCATTCAATATATCATTGTTGAACCACATCGCATTGGGATTGGACCGCACAGATCGCAGAGGAACGAAATTTTCGAAAAGATCAACTATGTGTGCATTGAAGAACTCGAGTGCCAAGTCAGAAGCACTAATACTATATAACGGGGACCAATCAAAATTTGTCAACGTACTTTGTAGTAGAGGGTAGTCAATACGATTAAATATAAGCCCTAAATAACTTAGGGACATCCAACTTTCTACGAGATATATTAAGTGATGAAAAAATTATATCGTGTTGAGAAAAACCAGGAGCAGCAACTTGATTGAAATTTAGAACAAAATCAGTATCGTTAGTTATCAGTAAATCAATCAGTGAACTTCCACTAGAGTAAAAGTGCGTTGGTTCATTGTTGACAATGTTTAATCCAAAATTTTCCAGAACACTGCAAAAGCGTGAAGTTCTAACGCTGGTTTTACTCACATCAATGTTGAAATCTCCAATCAAAATAACATTCGAATAATTAAGTGACAGTTCGGAAAGCTTTTGATCTAGCAAACTAGAGCAGTCAACTCTAGGTGGCGAATAAATAGCACCGAGGAGAAATAATTTATTGTTTACTCGAACTTCAATAAACATATATTCGGTTCGATTACAGTCTTCCAATTCCGTTAGAGAATCAGAGACAGCAATAACTCTGCAATCAAGATCTAGTTTGTGATAAATACAAATCCCCCCCTCCCCCTCCCCCCCCCTCTGCTGTACTTCCGATCGTTCCTTAAAGCTCGGTAACCATCCACGGCAATTAAATTATCGTCAATACTTTCATTTAACCAGGTTTCAGATACGCAAATGATATCAACTTTGCTACTAGCAAAACAATGCTTAAATTCGTTGAATTTGCTTAATTGACGAGCACACAAACTTTGCACATTCATATGACATACGTTCAAGCAATCATCCAGTAGGGCCACATTCATAACAGCTCGTGGGATATCAGCAATACCTTGTCCTGTCCGTGCAATATTAATCTGATTAACCGACATCGAGAAACAGAAACATGATCAACAGTGAGAGCATGAACCGGAAAAGTAGATTGAAGGAAGGGAATGGAAAGAGCATCGAGTCAAAGAACAAAACAACATACATTTCTATCGTTTTCGTTAATATTCTACTCATCTGATAATGTGATGTACGATCGCTCACTCAATTGAAGTCGATAAAACGCAACAATGTCTGCTTCGGCGGTGACTATGGTGATGGAGTGAGACAACGGGAACAACGGCAGCAACAGCAACAACAGCAACAGCATCAGTTATAAACAACGCCCATGATGAAGATTTATCCGAGGTCCAACGATGTCTGACTTTTAGGAGGGAAGATATCAAGGATAATTGTAGGAACGGAGTCATGGAAATATCAATGAAGGAATAAATGAAATTCGTAGGAAAGGGTGACGGCTTTAATGATGTTGATGTTTGATCGATCCGTACTCCGCCAACTGGTCCACGTAGTAAATCGGCAGAGCTGGAACGTCTTCAGTCGGCTTCACAAAAATGATCCCATCCTTGGAGAAAACATGATGAATCTTCCCAGAACGTTTCAGCTTAAGAGCAGTCCCTTTGATGTAACGAGCTGATTCGGTGAGATTCTCATTTATGTAGATGCGTCTGTCAACGTCGTATCCAAGCTGAGTCAAGTTCAAATTCTTCCTAGCGAAATAGCGATGGAAAAATTCATCCCTGGATGCTCTGAAGGCAAACTGGATCAAAATCGGTGGTGTTGCACCCGCAACAATAGGTGTTCGAGCCAATCGTTTGGTATAAACAACTGGGGCATTCGTATCACTGTATTCAAGCGCAGCTGCAACTTTCTGAATTAGAGCACCAGTGTTCTCCATGGGGCTGTAGGGTACTCCAGTCAAAATAAAATCGTTTGATTTCGGCAATCTGTTAACAGCATCCTTGTTTTTCAGCACATCCAATTCCGTTTTTGCATGAGATTCGTTTAGCCGATTTAAATCACGGGCGTAGTCGGCCTTCAGTTGGTGCACCTCTTCACGCAGTGTAGCAATTTCACAAACAACGGCTTTATTGCTTGACTCGATCTTCTGTTCGATTTTCGTGTTTCCATCATCGATCATCTGTTTTATTCGCACCAACAGATTGTCGAAGGTTTCGTCTTGTTCTTCGGTCTTATCCAAGTCTTCCCTCGTTGGTTTTTTGTTTTGGTTGTCACTTTTGGAACCGGTTGACAAAGCGAGCGTAGATTTACTCATCTTTGTAGTAACAGCACGAGTCACTGCTCTGTTTGTGTTCATCCAGTGAGTGTTCAAGGTAGTGTGTAAGTAGAATGAGGTAGCAGATGAACACAATTACGGTACAGAGCCAATATGGAGTATACTGAATAGGCACATTTAGAAATACGTTTTAATTTCACTAGCGTAGATAATGTTCTTGAACTCCACACTATTCAGGCATGTCTTCGCATAACGAGTCAGAATATATGGTGCCTTCACATCTTTTTTTATTGAGCATTTAAACTTAAATATTGGCACGTCAGTCTGTTTATATGGCATAGATTTTAAAAATTGATTGAACTTAATGGTTAACCAAATGGGCATAAGAACATTTCCCCCCTATCGAACAGCATTAGCGTCATAGCTGGATTTTCCCAGCAACCCGACGCTGATGAAGCTGTTATCGTGGTGCACCACCACCAACCTGGCAAGATCACGGGATTCCGTTACAGGTGGACGATGAGGTCCCGGCGAAAGCGAACATAATTCAAACTGAAAGGCATACCTAGTTAGAAAACTTTTACCGTCGTCGCCGTTGCGCAAAACTGTGCAGCCTGAATGCAAATTTTCGATACTCTGCCCGACTCCGTCACCGCAGTAGCACGTCTGTCTGAAGCAGGTGGGTAGCCAGGATGTTGACTTTTCCCGGCCATCGACGGCTTCAGCGACATCCGAGTCTGGATGAGATAAAGTTCAAACGGCACTTGATTGAAATCTAATCCACTCGGTCGGTAGTGGATGCTACTGGTGCATCCGTATCTATGCAGAAAACCACTCCAGGGTGCCACCGAACAAGACTTATTATTGATTAAAACCCCCCGGGAAGATCCACTTGTTGCTGAATCGATATTTAATAAAAAATATAGTATCCAGCAAAACGGCACTTCCGGGAAAAAGATGAACGATGCAAATCGTTATAAAATTATAAATACTCACGGTAGATATCGAGTTTCCAGCCGTCCTCCTTGCCGGCATCCGGTATGACGGCGACCTCCGCCCGGCACGAAAGGTATTTTCCCTTGTCGTCGATCGTGGGTTGGAATGTCAATATGGACACGGTAACATTGCCCTCCGCATCGGTCTGAAAGTAAAGGAACGGACATATTTTGTTAATAATTTAATTCGACGAAAATTGCACCTATCTCATCGTCCGTCAGCTAGAAAGCTGACAGCCTCGGCTCTTGATTGTTTACCCGGCACATACAATGCTGAGGCATCGATTAATATTTTGCCGGAAGTTCCGGAACACGAAACAGCATAATAATAGGAGGGAAGGAGGAGCAGCACGTTCAACAACCGTTCCAATTTTGATAAGACACGTTCCGAAACCCCCCTAAGGCACGCCGCCATCTCCGAAAAATGTCCCCCCCCCCCCCAGTAACGCAGCGGACAATGGAAAAGCAGGTCGCCTTCTCTCGGCGTACAAACACTTTCACCTTGGCCCTTTTCCGTCCCCAATCTTTGCCTAGTGCGAGAAAAATGAATCATGTCGGTAAACGCACGTGATATCCTGCCGTTATGGCTATCCGGTTGGTTGGTTGGGCTTCTGAGATTCTGCTGTGTTCATTTTTTTCTTTCTCTTCTTTTCTCACAGGAAGGGGAAGCTGGAAAGCGATATTTTACGGCCAGGTGATTATAGATATGGGCTTGTTCCAGTTTCCATGAACTCGTTGTGGGTGGTTCATTGGAAAGTGATGCGGGGGGGAATTAGAAGGAGTTTGTTTAAGGCACACAATTTGTTCCTTTGTGCTTGGCTAAACGACTAACTTCCAGCTGAAATAGACTGTCATGAGTCGTAATTTTTCTTTTGAACTATGATGGAACGCCTTGACGGTGTTACCTATTATCCGATATCACCAATGTTTACATCAAGAATAAACCAATAAAGGAAAAAAATCCCGTCCCATCTGGGTAAAAAAAAAAACATCTTTTTAGGGCACTGACTGGCACTGCAAGAGCTGTTGATATATCGACAACTAGTAGAACTTTCAGAAACATGCAATGCGGAGCTACTAAAAACTTTCCAGCCATATTTTGCAAGTCTTCGATGTTTGGAAAGATTAGATTAAGGGTTGATCAATCTAAGGATTCATGAACCTTACGCTTTGTGCTAGGTTGGTTGTGGCACATTTCGAGTATGAGAGGGTGATTGAAGGTTGCTCAAATGTGCCTGAGTAAAATGCAAGTACTTACGATGATTACTCGTAGTTGCGATAGTGCAGGTGTATTCATATATGTTTACCATACAGAAACCTTTTGACGTAGGACTACGTCTTTTGGGAAGGGTACCAATCCATGGAAATGCAACGAAAATTTGTCAGACTTTAAATGCTAATAACTTAGCCAATAATCAATGGATTCTGATGATTTGTATGTCGATCGATTCGGCAGTTTTATAACATTTGTGTGATATGTCACATATTATAAATGTTAAATATTTAAATAGCTTTAAATTAAGAAATATGTAATCATTCCAATTTCTCATACGCAAGATTCTCACCCCTAACATAGCCATCAGAAAGTTGGTCCCTAACAACACAAGCCGAAGCGGCATAATCATTCAGCGTTGCGCGTTGGACGGGTCGACCTCGAACTTGTTCGCTGCAGTGTGGACATCGTTTCTGTTCATTCACCTACATCAGCTAAATACAGAAAAAAAGAAGGGGGCATAGAATGATAATCCAAATGTTTAAGAAGCGAAACGTCACATAACATATGTGGAACTCGGGCATCCAAAATCAACCCCATTTCAGTGATTTCAAGTGGTATAGAAAGGCATCGATCTGTCAAATTGATTATACCAGCTGTAAAATGAGAAAGGGTAACAAGGGGTAGTCAATTCTATTAAAATAATATTAGAGTGGTTTATAATTCTATGACTTCTTAGCACTTCCGAACTTATGTTTTTGTTTATTGTTGATTATTTACGTCCTTTATTTATAACTAATTAGCTGGATTTAACAAATTCATCACCTTACTCCACACAACAACAAAAATATAGTACAGTGGTGACCCGGTTTTGTCAGCCTCCGATTTTGTCTACCCCCGATTTTGTCAGCCTATATGATTCAATTAGTTTTGGTTGAGGTGGACTGTTTTGTACAGTCGTATTCGTATTTTATTGATTGTCTAGCTCAATAATGACATTTTTTGAGAATTAAATGTGCAGTGGTGGCAAAACCAAAGCAGGGGAAGGGGGGTTGAGGGGCTAGTTGAAAATTATGTACGTTATGCATGTGTTTTTTTTTTCTTTTTTTTTATAGTAAGGTTTAGGAAAGCTTCAAGAAGCCTAGCCTGTAGTGAAGTTGGCACGGTGTGGTATCCACTAGTTGCCTAGTACAGCTCCACTAAAACCCATTCCTTACTCTCTCCTCTGCCTGGATCCCCCCGGGACCACTGTAAAGCGACTACTTCGAGGGGTGGCTGTGCTCATGCACTTGTCGTACTCTCAGCGCTAGCTGGCGTTGCTAGATCGCTGCTCTTCTCTCCATTTAGGCTGCAGCTCCGACATAATCTGCGTGACTGCCCTGCTGACGGCATTCCAAGTGTCCTCCTCTCGACACATTTCAACGACGACATCTCCGTTCGCACTGCCACGAACCTTGGACAGTCGAAGACCACATGCTCCGGCGTTTCATCGACGTTGCCACACTCCGGACAGAGGGGTGACGCTGCGTGTCCGAACCGATGCAGGTATTTCCTGAAGCAGCCGTGGCCAGACAAGAACTGCGTTAGGTGGAAATTGACTTCTCCGTGTTTTCTGTTCACCCAGGTCGAAAGAATCGGTATTAGCATAGAGGTAACTCTAAGACCAGAAGGTCCCGAATAAACGAGCTCAACTTTTTGGCTCAGCTCTGGTACTATCTTCGGTCCCAAGCTAATCGATTCACCCCTCGAAACATAGGAAAATCCACGAACCCCTAAACTGTCAAACTTTCATAGCGAATCAAAACAAACATAGTGTAGTACTGGAATTTATACTAGAATGGGGTACGTTATTCGATTTGCTTGGGACCAATAGGCTAGTCAAGTAGTGAGCCAATTTAAAATCGTTAGTTTCGTATTGATTGTTGGTATTAGTCTTTGTGTCCATCTACGTTCTCCGTCGTGTTCCGCTCCTGTTGCCACTTAGCCAATGACTCCACTCTCACAACTTTCCGTACTCTTCCGGCTTCTCTCCGCCTGTAGCACTCGCTGTCCTCCGCCAGGGTGACGCCGATTGGGATCATACCGGCGATAACACATACTGCTTCCGACAAGATGGTTCTGTACGCACTCACGACTCGCATGGCCATGAGCCGGAACGTACTGCTCAGTTTCCTTTGGTTCTGCTTCGTTTCCAGCGCTGGAACCCAGGCTGGACCTCCATATCTCAGTATCGATGATGACACGCTGGCCAGAAGATGCCTCTTGCTACTGCTGGGACCAGCGTTGTTTGGCATGATTCTAGCTATCGCGTTGATGGCCTTCGAAGCTTTCTCACAGGCATATTCGACGTGGCTGTTGAAGTTTAGCCGGTCATCGATCATCACTCCCAGGTATTTTAACACACGCTTCGAGGCTATGGTGTGCTCCCCGACGGTGATTTCTGCCCGCTGTACCGCTTTACAGTTACTGACCAATAACACTTCCGTTTTGTGGTGGGCTATCTGCAGCTTCGCTCCTTGCATCCAATTACCAATCATGTCGATTACCTCGGTTGACAACACTTCCACCTCTTCCAGCGTCTCGCCTGTTACCGTCAAGACGATGTCGTCCGCAAAGCCAACGATCTCAACTCCTTTGGGCAGTTTCAGCGTTAGCACGCCGTTGTAGATCCCATTCCAGAGCGTTGGACCAAGGATGGAGCCTTGTGGAACTCTCGCTGTGATCCTAATCGATCTCAGTCCCATGTCTGTCTCGTAGACCAGAACCCGGTTCTGGAAATAACTCCTCAGGATCCTGCACAGGTAGTCAGGGACCCTCATTCTATGCAGTGCTTCGACGATGGCCTCCCAGCTGGCGCTGTTGAACGCATTCTTGACGTCGATCGTTATCATGGCGCAATATCGATCTCCTCTCCGCTTCTGTTTAGACGCCTTCTCAGCTCTCTCGACCACTGTCCGAATTGCATCCACCGTCGATCTCCCTTTCCGGAATCCGAACTGCCTCTCCGACAATCCGTGCTCACTCTCCGTGTATTTCGTCAGCCTGTTTAGGATGATCCTCTCCAAGAGTTTTCCGAGTGTATCCAGCAGGCATATAGGCCTGTACGATGCTGGATCCCCGGCGGTTTTCCTGGTTTCGGCAGCGACACTAGCTTCTGTATCTTCCACCTGTCAGGGAATTGACCCTCGTTCAGGCATTTCTGCAGCACCATCCTGAAAATGTCCGGGAATGACTGGATCGCCGCTTTCAACGCTACTTTGGGGATTCCATCTGGACCGGGAGCTTTCTTCACCTTCAATCCTTTCGCCACTGCTACGAGTTCCTCGTTGGTGACTTCGACGTTATCTCCCTCTCCTTCTCCGTACGGTGTAGGTGGCCAGGTTGTTGGGTCGTGCTTTGGGAAAAGTCCTTCCACGATGACTTTCAGCTTCTCTGGGCACATTTCAGCGGGCATCGTTGGACCTCTGATCTTCGCCATCACGACTCGGTATGCGTGGCCCCAGGAGTTGGCATCAGCGTCTCGACACAGTTCGACTTGCTCTGCTTAATCTCTCGTTTAAGTGCGGCCCTGGCCGCTCGAAACACTTCTCTTCGTTCCTCTCTGTCTGCTTCCGTTCTTGCTCTCTGAAAACGTCTTCTGGCTCTGAGACAACTAGCGCGGAGAGTGCTAAGTGCCTCGTTCCACCAGTAGACTGGACGCCGTCTGTTATTTGGCTCTAGTTTCCTCGGCATGGTCGTGTCACATGCTCTCACTAACGTTTCTGTCAGCTCGTCCGCATTTAGATCTGTGGGACTCCTGTCCACACGAAGTGCCTCAACGAACAGATCCTTGTCGAAAGCCTTCGAATACCACTCAAGTAAACCACTACGATGATTATGTAGAGGGAGAGTCCTCATATCCGATAGAATTGGTGGCTTACATGGATTGACTTT